AAATTTCACACGTGTAGGATGTAATACAAAATAATTTTTTTTGGTTTTATATATGCTTTTTAAAATATAAAATGTTAAAAAAATCATAAATTACTATATCAATACCACAGAATTCCACTATAATTTATCAAGCTTCATAACTAAGCTGTATTTGGGTCTAAAAAGAAAAGACTTTTTTGAGCTCACTAATGTCTTATCTTACTGCTTGGAATCTAGCATGAAAAGAAAGAGTTTCCTGTGCAAATACTTTGCAAAGGCTGAGAAAACCACTAGAGGTACATTCTGAGCTTTTGATTGGTCATACACACATCATTGGGCAAAGTATATGTACATAAGCAAGTATTTTCAAAAATGGAAAAGGTGGTGGGGCCACCTTAGTTGATTCAATAAATATATTAATACCTCAGAAAATAGAAACACAGGAGGTTCTTATCTTATATTATAGCTTGTCAATATCAGTAATTTGAGTATCTAATTCATAAGAAACTATAGATTTTGTATTTGGACATCATAAACATCTAATCTGAACCGATGCTGCATTCAATGTACCACGTGACACACAAAAGTTGATATTTAGGATTTTTTTTTATATTTACTTTTAAATTAAGAAATTAACTAATGTATAATATGAAACTTTGACTTATAATTTACAATTTGATACCAAACTTATTGACATACATTCATAAAATAGAAGTTCAATAATGTTTTGAATGCGAGTCTACAAAAATGATAACATGGACACTGACCCGTGACCATAGGAAGACCTGTCTCGGTAGGGTTAACATAAATCATTCAATATAATATAGATATTACTTAGGCCTTCAGTCTTATTTGTCTATGTAGTAAACTAGAAAATCAAACACACTTGGCAAGCCCACCTGTCACATATCATCTTTCACAAATTGTTAACAGTTCACTGATGTTTTACATTATATTATTTATAACCAATAGAAATTCAATGTTTTAATCTATCAAATGATATATTATATTACATTATTTTCTGTACAGATAATTGTCTACTTTGCCTCCACTTTGAGATTATTCTCACATGATCACATCTATGAGCTTAGTTGAATTTCTAAAGGCTCTTATTGCATAGTTAGAAAGTCAAAAAATCATGATAGTTATGGGACATTGTCTGCTTTTTGTGTGTTATTATTCTGTGTTCTTAGGTGCATTATTTATTTAAACAGAAAATTACGTAATATAGTAGTATCATTAGAATAAAAAAGCAGGAAGTTTCACTGACAGTTGACAGCAAAAAAAAAAATAACACTCAGGTAAGTACTATACTTTTTGTTTTTCATATGTATTTTTTATTATAAAAGTAACTAAAATGTAAAAATTATAAAGTTATCAGGTTAGACTAGGTAAGTTAACGAACAAAAAAAAATCTTCAGAAGATATGCTCACAAGCAGCTTGAATGTTACACAATTCAATATGGTTATGTGAGCTACATATTCACCAAGTGATTTACAACTTGTGTGGTGGGATTATTAGTTAGACACTATTCAAAGGGCAGTAAAACAATAAAATTTAAGTAAAAGCAGAAATATACTGTTACGAGCTTTAAGATATTCAGAATGAACAACTGTGGTTTCCTGTTACAATGTGCAGTCATTCTAGAAATAAAAAAGATTAATTTAAATTTATTTTGTATTTTTCTCTATGGTGGTTATGAGGTCAGTCAAATTGACCAAATGCATATACAGTTAAGGTAGAGAAAATAGAAGATAACATATGAAGCTTTACTGAAAAAAATAAATAAAAACATTTCATATTTATTTAGGTTTTAGAGATTATGCAAATGAAGTTTGAGATTTATCAGATGAAGAAATGTATTTTTAATCTTAACATGAAAATCACTTTGCACTCGATTTTGTGTGTACAAAAGATTTGTAACACTTAATGAAAGCTTATAAAGTTTCATAAAAATACACAAAACATATTAAAAGTTATAGTATGAAAACTATGATGGTCATTTTGGGGTAACAAATTTGGTCAAATCAGCCAAGCTTGTAGTAAGAGAGTTAACAAAATGAAATTTTTGTTATAGACCTTTTTTTTTTTTCTATATATGCATATATTTTGGTCAAAAATGTAATTGGGCTTACGGAATGCATGCTAGGTATGTACAACGAAACAAAAGCAATACAGAAACCCAAGGAACATTAAAGTGAAAATGTATGGGACAACTTCCCTAAGTATCACATTAAGTAAAAAGCTAGCATAACTGACATTTTGAGCTTTGAAGGAACAAAACTAGTTTGCACCAACCCCAACAATTTCTTTAAATTTCAAACGCTGATTGTAAACTTTCAATGCTCTCAACATTCCTTTCATCTATAAACCTTGTATTCCCAGGAGCTATTTGTATATAAACCTTGTATGCTTATATTTGTGTCATGCCTGAGGAAGACAGCCAAAAGTACTGTCAAAATATGTTGTATGTTTTCTACAATAAATATTATTGTGCTTCCCTACACATGTACACAGCTACCTAACACCGATGAACAATTTCCAAGACCAGCAAATTTAATAACTCAAATGTTTCATTACTTAGTAGCATAGAAATGCAACTGATGAACTAGCTACTCTAAAGGTCAAATGCATATTTCATTCATCAGTTCAGTTTGTCTATTATTAGACTGGTAACTAATAAAGGCCCCATATATTAGGCATAAACACAATTTTAATTTTTTTTTGCATACACTGTAATAAATATTGATGTTATGAAATCAAAACAGCATACAGTGCTTTGTTACACTGAAACATACTTTTATGTTTACTTCTCTATCTAATACCTTTTGATCAAGGGTATTGCTCTAAAAAAGTGACAAGTACCTTGGCAAAGGTCCCTATTTGCATGACCAAAAGGCATGTATAAAATACTCTTACTGCATGTCTTAAACAACTGTACAATTAATATAAATGTCATAAACTTAAATAGAATGGTGCAATAAATTAACTTTCAATATGTATATAAAGATGCCTTTTTATCAAAATGGACTCTTAATAAAAAAGCAATGTGATGTATCTTTAACAATTACTCTTTCCATAATATAAGTCAGAATCATTCCATACTGTGTATTCCTATCAAGCCACAACAGAATCTTGTTTTACTGTAAAACATCAATTCACTGAAACTAAACACAAGTAAGTGAAAAGAATTACTAAATATACCATACTTGAGCTTGAATCTGTATCAGACAAAGATTTTTCTTTGTTTGGGGATCTTTCCTGGGAACTATCATCAGATCTGTTTTAAATTAGAAAAAATAACAACTAAAACTTCAGTATAAATGGATAATTTTATTACAAAGATGACTATTACTGGCTTGCCCCAAATCCAATACGACTTTATTTCATTCAACATAGTGGTAATTTATACAAAATCACAAAGATTTATCTTATTCAACACAATATAAAACTGATCAGATTTTCTAGTAAAGTAAATGTGGAAGTATGAATTACAGTATATTAAAAAAACAGAAAGGCAATATATACACAAATTTAATGTAATCAATCACAAATTAAAATCATGTAGACCAAAAAAGAAAAATTTATACCAGTTGTAAAACAGCTTTAAAATATGTATAACCTTGAACTTCTTCAGTTGTTTGCATAAATCTTATTCTTATTTTTTAGTTACTTATATAAGTTTATTATTTTTTTAGTCATATGCATAAATTTTTATTATTATTCTTTAGTTACATGCATAAATTTTTCACTATCAGTATTTTTTAATTATTTGCATAAGTTTTTTCATTATTGTTCTTTAGTTACTAATATTTATTTCTTATATACTATATTTATTATTGTTGTACATCACTTTTCACCTAAAGTTTGGAAATTAAAAAAATAGCATATCACTTAACACCTTTGGGGAGTAATTTACACTGCTATCTTACTCTAATTTATACCCTTGATCAGGTGTTCTGTAAGTTTTGTTTTTGTTCTAAAGGATATAAATTTACTTATGAATGATTGTGTTAGAGTATTTTCATAAATTATTTGTAACATTAATATTTCACCATTTAATGTTTATAGCTTACATGTACATACACACACACAAACAAATCCACAAACAGAGTAGGGTCCAAATGCCCAAGGCCAGAGGATTTCTTTGAAATAAAATGGCATAACTACTAGACTCTCACTTGCATTTGATAATTTTTGCAGCATATGGTTAGGATATTATAAAGAAAAACAGGAAACAAAAATCACTATCAATATGAACTACCACTCATTGAAACTCCTCCTAACTAAATCATATCCTCCTTGCCAGTGACATTTTTACTATTCTTGCAAAACAATCCATTGTAATGCTATTTACTATGTACCAAACACCCCTTCAAATGTCCTTTTGATTAATAAATTGTTTATATTGCAGATGTCTAAATAAGATGCTTATTGATCACTGTACAACTAAGTTTTATATTATGCTAAAAGTATCATTATATATGGAAATGAATATGTCATAAGAGTTCAATGAAGGTGATTAACTTGTTACTTCCCAACTGTGAATTTCTAAACAAGTTATGCAAAGATGTGGAGAAGCTAAAATGAAACAAAGAGCTTTAAATGAAAATCATTAAGTGAAAGAATGAAGGTAGCTAATGCAAATGATGATTGCTATATTAAGCTAACATCCCTATCAGACAGATTCAAGAACAGTTAAATGTTCAATATCACTACAACTACAGTGAAGACTTGCAAGTTTTAGGTGATGAGGAAGCACTGTAGTGTTGACCTTTGTTAAAAAATTTAAGTAATGCCAAATGATTAGTATGGGTCCAAACACAAAACATTTAGCAAAGAAGGCTGGAAGAAGGCCCATTTTATACCAGATTCAACATTTGAAATTTTAAAGTCGTTGTAGATAGTATTTGTAACAAAAATCAGGTGAGAGCACCAGAATGCAATCACTCTTCTATTAACTATTAAAAAGAAACATAAAGAAAACATTCTACAAGTTATGAAATTTCCTCCCCAATCACTGGACTTAAATCCCACTGAACATTTATGGGAAACCTGAAGAGGCTGAAAGAAGAACACCAGTTAACAAGTCTCAATATGCTATGGAATGTCATGCAAGACTGTTGGTATGATGTTGATCAATGCCATGATAAGATCAAACAATCATAACAACAAAGAAAGGATACACTAATATACTGACTTACATAAAAGTTAATTATATTATTGTTCATATGTCTTATGTAATTATATATCTAAGTCATTTCTGTATGATGTACAGTTAAGATATGCATATAGCAAATGCAAGACACTAATGTGTTACAATTTTTCTCCTGGACTCAAATGTTTGGGACCTACTATGTAATAAAATAGTCTACTTCAGCATTTAAATTAAAGTAATTTAATGCAGTTTCTTAAAATTGTGTGTTTTGCTTTAATAGTTTAGAAACATTTTATCAACTAGAAACTTGCTGCACAAGAGTATCCTGTGTCTAAAACACAAGTCTAATGATTTTTTTTTCCTAACCACAAAACTCACATATTCTCAGGTTGCCTTTCAGGAGAATGCCCCCAGACATCTTTGACACCAATTTCACCAATTCTTTCTCTTTCTTTTCTTCTCCTAAATGAAACAAAAATTATAAATACATATATATTGTTCAGCTCAGTAATTTTGTTTTGATGCTGTTACACTTGGCTTTCAACAGATAATTTGAAGACTTGTTAAAAAACAAATTAAATGAAGATAATTCTCGAAGAAATAATTAAATTTAACACCTCATTTGTGGTATATACTGAATTTACATTTATTCAACATTATTAAAACAAGTTTTTACATCATGTAAATCAGTGGTTCCCAACCTGGGGTTTGCAAAGGTAATACCATCTCATTAAACAAGTAAGTTTTTTAACACTGCTGTTTTTTTAATTGCACACTCAGTTACATATGTCTTTTATTTCATAGTGAAAAATGGGAAAACAAGTTAATTATTAGTAATTGTAAAACAGTTTGTTGGATAGATGGAATCTTTCAAAAACATGGGGTTCATGAGGGAAAATAATAATAATAAAAGGGGTCCTTGGTGGTGAAAAGGTTGGGAACCACCAATTTAAGTAACTTTAAGATTTTCAAAAAGAGCTGTGTACAATCTTGTACTTGTTTCTAATCCTAATAATTGTGACAGCTACAGAATGCTACACTAGTACCTAATGCAACATCAATTTTACCAGGACTAACAGGATATCAAGTAATTTTCTATTCAACTGCTACTTTTTTAAAGTTTAACTGAATATCACTCTGACTTCTGATTAACAATGTATTTTTCTTACAGTAGTCTCTTGCTTAAAATGTTATCATAATCTCTATCAGACTTGCTTTATCAGTATGTGTTGCCAAAACACTATTTAGAAACTTGTGACTAGTGCCATGAGTCCAGAATATTTTCTCCAAGAATATATGCAAGAACAAAACCTTTTAGGAATATTCCCCAAAGTAAAAGAATATTGAAAATATTGAGATTTTCTTTTATTAACATATTTTCAGTCTTTTTTTTTAAAATTACCCAGCTTAATCTTGTGTGCACATCCAACACAGCCATCACATATCCACTGGGAATGGACATCCGGGGGACAGAAGAAAGGTGGAAAGCAAAGTTGGGTGCATCTTCAGTCCATCACCAAGCAGCATTGGGAATGTATCATCCAGTCCACGGTAGGAAGATGGTACCCAGTCACACACATATGTGAAATTAAGGAACCCCAGGTATAGAGTGGCTATGGCACATTGGATCCTCTACCTTTCACCTCTCATACGGGAACTGGTAGGGAATATGACCCTCCATACCAATGACCTGCATCATCATGTGTACAAATCCAACACAATCATCACCTTATTTGGCAAAAACCAACATCTGGGGGATGATATGAAGGTGGATAGCAAAGTACGGGTGCATCTCCAGTCCATCACCAGGTGGCACTGGGAATGTATCGTCCAGTCTTTGGTAGGAGGAGGGTACCTGGCCGCACACATGAGAGGACTTATGTGGCTGAACCATTTTCGAATAACACCCAATCCCTTGGAATCGACATCCGGAGAATGGTAGAAAGGAGGAATGTCCGAGCTGTAGGTAGAAAGGAGGAATGTCTGATCTGTAGGGGCAACTGCATTTTTTGTTAATTATTCGTGTATATATATATATATAT